GATTTGCCGAAGATCTGCTACCGAAGTATCAAAGATTTTCCCTAGGGGAGCCGGAGCCTTCTATTGCGGTGGGGGTTAATGAGAAAGTAAAAAGATCATTCACGGTAGCTCAGCAAATGAACTGATCCGAAATGACTTGCATAAAAAAAGATTCATTGTTTTCACAATTCCACAGAAATTTCTTATTGAGTCTAAACAATTTCTGGGTGGGCTCAAACAGTTTTAGGGTGGGCTTAGCCCATCTCCGCCCACCTGTGGCGCCGCCACTAGGTGTGGGTGGGGTGTGGGTGTAGGTGTGAGTGTGTGGGTATGGGTGTGGGGGTGGGGGTGGGGGTGGGGGTGTGTGGGTGTGGGGTGTGGGTGTGGCTGGGTGTGGCTGCGGGTGCGGGTGAGGTGTGGATGTGGGCAGCAATGTCAAAGGTCCAAAAAATGTCCACTTTACCTAAAGTCCTCGATGAATATGTGGGACTTTACGTACCATTGAAATGTCACGTATATCGGTAGTGATAGGAAGAGCAAAATATAAATACTCCACCAGCGGATATTTCTGTATTCCAGCGGACTTTTCTATTCTCTTCAGGACTTTTCTTTTCACATGATTTTATTTCTCGAGGTGAATATAAAAACATTCAAATAGATTTAATCAAAGAAATAATTTGTTGTATACATATGATGAACAAAAGGATGTTTCTTTCTTCTAGTGGACTTTTTTATTCTCTTCAGGACTTTTCTTATCGTATGATTTTTTTTATCAAGATGAATATAAGAAATGAATACAATTTTAAATATATAACACGTTACAGGAAAGAAAAAAAATATATATCACGTCAGCGGATATTTCGCTCTTCCAGCGGATCTTTCTAATCATTTAAGGATTTTTCCATTCTCTCATTGGATAGAAAACAAAACACACATATAAAATCATTGCTTACGAAATATTTTCGTGTATCTAATGTGCTGTTGGATATTTCTCTCTTCAACGGACTTCACTATATTTATTATTATTTTTCTTTTCTTATATTTCATCTATTTACAGATTTACGGTTGAAATACATAGAATGACTACAAATCAGATATTGGAGAATATTTTTGGTTTATTCAACATACTAGCGGATATTTGTTTTCTTTTGCGGACTTTCCTATCGCTAGTGGTATATTTATTTTTCTTTATTTTACCAGTTTAAGCAAGTAGTCATGAAATACATATGATGACTACGATAAGAAGAATTACTTATATCTTTCATTTATCTAATGTCCTTGCAGATACTTGCTGCTTCAGTGAAATTTTCTATGAATAGTAGTATTTTCTTCTCATATCATTTAAACTGTTGAGAATAATAGCAAAAAGATTTCACGAGTATAAATAAGATGTTTTTGAATATTTTTTGTTTATCTAGAGTCTCGACGGATATTTGTTTCTTCAGTAGACTTTTCTATAGTTATTAATTTTTTCTTTTTTTTTCTTTTATTTATTTAAATGTATAGCCACGACTAGAGATGAGCGGGACCAATCATTTTTGGTCCCGGTCCCGGCTCGAAAAGAAAAATGGTCCCGGTCCCAGTCCCGGTCTCGATCTAAAAAAAAAAAGTGGTCCCGGTCCCGATCCTGGTCTCGGCCTGAAAATAACTTTTGGTCCCGGTCCCGATCCAAAAAAGTTTGGTCCCGGTCCCAGTCCCGGTCTCGGTCCTGGTCCCGGTCCCAGTTCTGGTCCCGGTCCCGGTCCCGGTTCTGGTCCCGATCCCGATCAGAAAAAAAGACAATTGGTTCCAATCTCGACACTGGTCAGAAAAAATTTTTGGTCCTAAACTGAGTCAAAAAACAACCTGGTTTCTGTCCATATCCGAAAAAAATTTTTAGTCTTGGTTTCATAGTTAGCAATACAAGAACTAACGCAAAATAGGATATGATTTTCTAGCAATGTCAATAAACTTGAGACATCTTGCATGACCCAAATAGTCTTTAATATCCTCCGTCTTGGAGGTTCGTTACTGTTTTTAATTTACTGGTACTTTGTCTATATTGTATGTTTATGTGTTCATTCACTTTGTTGTTGAATAAAATAGGTACTAATTTTATTATCAAAATTGTGGCAGCGAATATTGAAATGGTTGTTACCCAATGATTTTTTTTTACAAATTTTGACCTTGAAATTCAAAGTTGAAGCTTAAATATCCTTGAATACTTTTTTTTTATTGCAGTAAATTTCGTACGAAGTATTCGAATAATTTCTTTTTAGATTTTGATATTCACATGCTAGCTGCCGAAGATTTATCAGACTTGATCAAAAAAACTGATCCATCCGTATCTTACTATAATCCACTTGAAACAGACAACAACAGCTCAAAAAAAAGAAAACGAAGTGAACATTGGAATGGATTTCAACAAATATTAGTAAATGGTGTTAAACAAAATTACATTATCTGTAATAATTGTCAAATTTTACTGAAATGGCGAGCTGATGATGGTACAAACGTAATGAAAAAGCACACGATTGGATGTAAATCTCATTCTGCTGTTCCATCATCATCTAGTCAATCCATATCTACGTTCTTCACAGTTGATATACGAAATAAATCACATGCTACTCGTTTAGTAAAACATAAATTGAAAAAAGCTATTGCAGAATGTTGTATTCTTGATAATCGTCCATTTGCACTAGCTGATGGTCCTGGTTTTCAAAAAATAATTCATGAAGCAATGTCAATTGGACGTTCATTAGGTAAAGCAATCCCAGTTGAAAAAATCATTCCCAATCGAACAACAGTAAGATTTCTTATCTTTGAAGCTCTCACTTTTGATGTTTTTTTTCAGATTAGTCGAGAAATCGACGCTATGTACACGTTCAGAAAGAATCAATTAAAAAAAATTATCAAAAGTATCAACCGTTATTCAATAACTGTCGACTTTTGGACAGAATCGCACACTGGTGTTAATTTTGGTGGTGTTTCACTTCATTGTTATTTCAAAAAACATGGTTTAAAATCTATGGTGCTTGCTTGTCGTGAATACGATTTACCTAATAGTAAAAGTCCTAATATACGTGCATTTACTGAAGGCATCTTATCTGAATTTGATTTAACAATAAATGAAAATGTCTATATAGTAACAGATAATGAACCTAAAATGAAAGCAGCATTTAGAGACGGAGCTAAAAGAATTGGATGCTCCGCACATTATGTCAACAAAATTATCGAGCATTCATTAACAAGTATTGATATTGGTTGTGATCTAATTCAGCAAACATTTAATCAAGTCAAAACAATTGTTACACATATTAGACAAACACATATACAAACAAAATTATCTCATTCAATCAATTTATTTTGTAAAACCAGGTGGAATAGTGCGTTTCAAATGATACAAGATTTTCTTGATATGTATTCAGAAATGAACGAATTATTGACAAATTCTGATCAAAAACTGCGTTTAATATCGATAGATTTGGATTTGTTAAAAGAATTTGCAAAATATTTTGTGTTGTTTGGCAAGTATTATTTTTCTTCATATCATGTACTATAATTGTAATAATGTGAGTTCCACTATTGAACTCACTCTTCTTAATTTTCTTCCTCTGCATGTCGACAAATTTTTAACTATTTTAGTTCAAGCTACGGACACGTTAAGTGCTGAAAAAAACCAACACTTCACCTCGTCATTCCAATAAAAATGCAGTTAATAAAGTTATCTCAATTTGATCCAGATGATTCTGATGCCATGACAAAGATTAAACTTTTTTTTTCATCTGAATTGGAATCTCAATGGATAATTACTAAAGAACATATGATGGCGATGATATTACATCCAAAATTAAAAGCATGCACGTAAGTATTTGAAAGAATCTTATATATTCCAGGAGGCTTCAAGAGAAAACAGCATGAGCAATTATCAAATCTTTCTACCCATTCAGAAAATCTTGTTGAAATTAAAATGCAATTTACTATGTTGAATTAAAAATGTATGAAAAAACTTCCTACGTTTTAATCAGATTATCATCACTAAATGGGATTTTAGTTTAATAAAAATTTGTTTTAATGTGTTATTTAATGATTGCCCGATATTTGACTAAAACGATATTACTTTATCCAACATCAAAAATTGAATTAGCATACCTTCATTTTTAATCGTGATGTGTTAATCAATTTTAGCTATTTTTTTTTTCTATGTTTATATGTTTAGCATTTGTCCTCAACTAAAAGATGAATTTTATGATGTTTTAAAAGAAGAGATGAATAAACGACAATCACTTGAACCAAAGACACATACAACATCTGCTAAACTAACAACAGCTTCAGCTACACTAAAAAGAAAAAGAACAAATTTACTTGCTGATTGTTATGATCCTGATCCTGATCCATTAGATGAAACTATATCAAATGATGAAACAGAAATTGAAAAGTACATAAAAGCATGTTTTACATTCGATCCAGATACAGATGATTTTTTCGACTTTTGGGATAAACAACAGTATACTTATCCACTACTAAGTTCAGTTGCTTTTGACATCCTTGTCATTCCGGCAACAAATACTAGCGTTGAGCGGTTATTTTCAACTAGTGCAACAAGTGTTACAAATAAAAGGACACGATTGAATACAGCCAAAATTGATAAATTGATATTTCTCAAAAGTAATTTGACATTTTTATCAACATTTCATTATGTTAATACTACAAACAGTTCTTCGATGGAAAAATTAGTAAACCAAGAACTATGTGAAATTGTTGATGATTCAAGCAACGATGAGGAAGACAATGAAACTAGTAATAATGGAAATAATTATGAAGACGATGTGTTTTGATATTTATATGTCGCTCTTTTTTGTACTATTTTTGTACTTTTTTTGTATTTTTTTCTTCAATAAGTGAAATATAAGTGTTATCTGCAACATGGACATATGTTGCTATATTTCTCAACAATTTTTGCATAAACTTTTAGAATAAGAGTCATGACAATATGACCTTTAACACAAATTTTATGCCATCAAAATACATATCACTTCAATCAATGCATGATGATTCTGATTTCCATCCTGGCTTGTATCAAAAATAGTTTGGTCTCGCTGCCGATCCTACTTTCTATCAATAAAAGATCTGGGTCTGGTAAAAAAAATTGACTACGATCCCTATCGAAACAAAATTTGGCCTTGATTCGGTCAAAACAGTTTGCTCTCGGTCCTGCACAGAAGAATTAATCCTAGTCCTGGTCTAAATAAAAAAAAAACTCTGGTTTCTGTCAAAAAAAAAAGTTGGTCCCGGTCCCAGTCCAAAAAAAAGTTGGTCCCGGTCCCGATCCTGGTCCCGGTCCAAAAAAA